GAACAGCTGGTAGTTTCGAACTGCTGACCTTGCGGTTCGCAGCCCGATTCGTAACCACTACGCTACCAGAGCTCCTTACCAGAGTGCCTAGTGCCCTGCAAAGTCACTAGGGCGGTTATTTCTGTGTACTAAGGATGCGTCATTATTAAAAACGTCTCACCAGCCAGTCAAGAGGCTGAGGAAATCCGTCTCATGACTTAGACCCACCTTGTGTTTTCACGGTCACTTTGTTCAGTGGGGAAGCCTTGGTGGCACAATGCTTAAGGCGCTCAGCTCCCACCTGAAAGGTTGGAGGTTAGAGCCCACCAGCCGCCTGCTTCCTTAAGGAATGCAGCGTGGAAACCCTATGGGGCAGTTAGTTCTCTGCTATCCCATGGGGTTACTGAGAGTCAGATTCTGTGGGTGGTTCTCTGCCATCCTGTGGGGTCGCTGTGAGTCAGACCCTATAGGGGAGTTCTCTGCCGTCTTGTGGGGTGACTAAGAGTCAGATCCTATGGGCGGCTCTCTGCCATCCTGTGGGGTCGCTGTGAGTCAGAACTGACAGGGTGACAATGGGTTTTGGCTTTCTTTTTGGTTAACAAAGTCCAACCTGGATACTTGTTGCCTATTGGTCAACTCGTGTGGTAAGTAAAGCAAGCCTGAAAGGACTCACGAAATGACTGAAAACACAGGGGTAATCGATCCCATTCTCAGGATCTTCTCTGGTTCCAACAAAGCATTTTCCCTTAGGAAAGGGGCTTTGCTTCCTCGGTGTGTGGAAGCCCTGCCTCAGGCTATGCTCACAGGAGCACATGCTGAACGCCACAACGAGGATGTTCCAAGCTGTATCACTGGATTAAACACTGGAATAAATACCCCAAAATACTGACGCACAAAGAAAGAAACTGAGGGGAAGGCAGAATGTTTGCCAGAGACAACTCTAGTGCCCAGGGTGGCAGCCACCCCTTCTGTTGAAGACACTGTTGTTGGCGAAACCACCCTGGGCCCTGTGGTGGGGGACCTCGGCGCAGGTGGGCCAGTGTGCATCCTGGCTGCTCCCTCGGCTGGGCTTCTTGGCGTGCAGCACGCTGTGAAAGGTCACGCCATGTTCATAACGCTCTTTCATCCGCTGGATCTTCTCTCTGGGGACTCCGTGGACGTTTCTTCTACGCAGGAGAGAAAAATGCCAGTGATTAGTGGTGGCAGTGTGCCGACTGGAGCCGCCTGTATTTCACCAGACCTGGTCCTCACATACAACTGTGCACTTCACTGTGGCAGAAACTAACTCCTGCTGTGTGTGCTATCTTGCAGGCCCCTATCTGTGCTGCCCCACACCCCGAAACTACCCTAGACCCACAAGAGCTGACACTTGAGAAGGCTTCCTGGAAATCTCAATTCAGACATAAGAAGTTCATAATAACATATACAGATTACCCATTTACATTGGCCAGTCTAGAAGCTTATTAACGCCATCTGATTGTAGAGGATATCTACATCAGTCTGCCACAGAAACTTCTAGAAACTTACTAATGCCATCTGGTTCTAGAGGATATCTACATCACTCAGCCCCAGAAACTTCTAGAAGCTTAATACCATTTTAGATTCTAGAGGGTATCTACATTGTCCAGTCCTGGAATTTTCTAGAAGCTTACCAATATCACCTTAGATTCTAGAGGGTATGTATCTACATCGGCCAGTCCCAGAAACTTCTAGATGTTTCCTAACACCACCTTAGATTCTGAGATACACTGAGGATGTGGTTAAAATGTAATCTACAGAGATTCTGAGTGTGGAAGTCTACAAACTAGTATTGTAACCACCACCCCACTTCCAGAAACACTTGACCATCTGCTTGTAACCCTGAAGCATGAACTAACCTTGTTTCTGACTAATATATCAGGATGTAGAGTCGCTAGACCTCGCTGCATTATCGAATAACACAGAGAGCACATATTTGCAACCATGCATCCAATCAAATGTTAGTAATATTTGGACATGTACTGCTTTTTCAATAGACCCTCCATGAACTGTGTCCAACAGCCAAAGATCTTTATTTATTTAACCTCAGCGCAAAAAAAACCACTGGCATGGATGACCCCATGCAGTGCAATGTGCTTTGAAACTTTCTATAATGAAGAAGTAGAGGTTCTGTGGGTCCTTTGAAAGGACCCGATCGAGCCAAGACTTCAGATGTAGCATTAAATCAGAAAACTGCCCTTGAAACACACAGTCTTCACACGAACCATCCCAAACTGGTCAATTTCCAAAAATGACCATTTCTGACCTGAAAAGGTACTTTGGGTCAGTCTGGACACCTGAAAACAGGAGGACACGCAGTGAGCTCGAGAAAAGCAAACAAGTACCTTGCTAACTCGGCAACGTTGAATTTCCAGCGAGTGTCAGGTTCTCGGAATAGAACTTCATAGTTATTCTCAAGTGCCTGATTTTTCAAAAGCACATAAAACATTGAAGACATGGTATGCTTGTTTGGGACCGTATAGGCTGCCACTGAACATTTACAAGTCTAGTCTAGCATTGCTTTTGTTTTTACCAATAACTCAATGACTAGTCTGTCTAACAAAATACAGGAGGTTCATTTCTACATTTAGCCACTCTCAGATTAAACACATGGTGGTTTCTGGTGATTAAATGTTGATCGGTTTCATCTAGCAGGCAGGAAAATGGTAAAGGCACCTTCTTTTTGGACATCTAAGATGGTTATGCCCTAAAAGCATCTTTAAACCTTAAACCAAAAATATTCCCTAAAGTCTCCTTAAAAGGAGACAATAGTTAATATCCACTAGTAGGAAATGCCTGTCTGAAGCATTGTGCTCTTTGAAGATCTATCAAATGGACACCAGCAACCGGAAAGGTCCAATAGGAAGCTTAGGGGAAGAACGGCTGAGACCAGGCGGGCAGGAATGGTCCCACTGGCCAGTGAATGGTGTATGTGGGGCTGTTGAAGTGGAGTGTGTTCTCTGGTGTACATTCCCAACAACAATGTACAATAGTTACACATAGATATGGAGACGGCTGAAGTCCTTTCATATCTGTTGCAGACCTGAACAGTGGGCTCAAACTCTCTTGGGCGATACTGTCAGGTGACTGTGTCCCTCGTGCCTGGGATTAGAAATTGAGAGTGTCATAGGAACACAGTTTATGAAATGAGTTATTTCCATAGACTTTCAACACATACTCTTCCTGCCCCAAAGCCCCCACTGTTATTCCCTGTGCTTTGCCTCCACGCCCCGTTTTCATGGAGTTTAGAAACAACTGCACTATCTAGAGACTCACTCCTAGACTCTACGTTTTTATTGTGGAACTTTACCAAGCACACTGGTTCTCCATTCAACAATTCACACGCGTTTTGCTTCATGACAGTGTGCCAGCACTCTTTCCACCTCCTCCCTGGCCTCCCTGTTCCTCTTGGTCCTTCGTTCCTGCCCTCTCTTGCCTTCTGAGCTTTCCTCCTGGTGTTTTTGAACTCGTGTGGTTGACCCTTCACCCCACAGGAGCGGGCCCCTCCCCGGTGTGACCCTTCACCCCACAGAAGCGGGCCCCTCCCAGTGTAACCCTTCACCCTACAGGCTTGGCTATCATTTCCCTGAACACTGGGGCACAGAACTTCTATTCTTTACATTCAAGAATCCACTACTCAAATTGAACTTCCTACAACCACCGCTGTCTAGTGTGTTATAAGATAGAATGAAATGGAAAAAGTTAAGAAAAGGCATTTCTTCATCGCTCCTCTACTGAACACTTCTAATCACAAATGGATTCAGATACCATTTCTGGAAAAGATCTCATTTCTGGGTGCTATTCAATAGCTGTGGGTGGCTAAAAAAGATTGTAAATAACTCGAAAACAAAAAGTAAAACAACATTGCTTAAGCCCTTGTCCGGGCTGATGGTATCTTAGGTTGGACTGGACTTTAGTTCCCTCGGCTATTCCTGCTCCTGTCTTTTCTAGCATCCACTCTCAGTCCATGGGGTCCCAGATGGACAAAGGTGGCCTCATCCTCTCACCCACCGACCAAAGTCCCACAAGATGGACCTATGGAAAGTGTATGGCAGTACAGTAGGACACAGAACAGACTCTGCTGGCAAAAAGGGGCCACAAGCTAGACTGAAGTCGGATCGCTTGCTTCACAATTGGCCCAGCAAAGATGAAGTGGGATTGGGCAGGGCACTCAGCGGTCTTCTTCGTGACATACCCTGTGTTTGGGATTTACTTCCTCCTTACGCCTCAGAGCATGTGTCCTGGTGGTGCAGTGGCTAAGTGCTTGGCTGTGAACCGACCTGTGGTTGGTTCAAACCCACCAGCCCCCCTGATGGAGAATGAATGATGTGTCAGTGTGCGTCCGTAAAGATGAACAGCCTCAGATCTACTCTTCCCTACAGGGTCATCAGGCATTGGGTTGAGGGGACAGCAGAGGGCTGGACATGCCTAATAGCAAATGAAAACTGATTATCCTCAGGGATGAAACATGCTCGAAACAGGGATCAGACGTACTTCAAAATGAAAGACAGGCGTGGTGTTCTGCCCACATTGATGCTGACAAAGGGCATTTATACTGCTGAGATTATAACTTAGAAACAGGAGCTCTGGTGGCACCGTGGATCAGGTGCTGGGATACTAACATCAAGTTCAGTGGTTCAAACCCCATGGGAGCAAGGTCTCATTTCTGCCCTGTCCTACGGGTTGTGATGAGTTGAAATCGGCTCAAAAGAACTGACTTTGGTTTATCTTTACAAGGTTATGGAGCACCCTGAGTTCCGTTTCCAGACTGGAAAGTACCGTGGTGCTGGGACTCCCACGGCAGCAGCGGCACCAGGGGCTGGGACTGCGGTTCCCGAAGCAGAAGCAGACCCGTCCAATAAGCCAGCCTGCAGCCCCACGAGGTCAGCGAGCCCAGGGGCTCTGCACACCGCTGCAGCCGCTGCCTGCAGGACCTCTGCTCCGGAAAAGACCAACAGAAGAGCAGTCAGGACTTCAAACAGGACTGTTCACCAAGTGTGAGCTAAACCGCAGGCACCCTGGAGGTTCCACAGTGAAGCACTCAGCTACTACCCAAAAAAAGTTGGTGGTTCGAACCCACTCAGCAGCTCTGTGGGAGAAAGACCTGGAGATCGGCCCCATAAAGATGACAGCCTAGGAAACGCTGTGGGTCAGTTCTCCTCTGTTACACCAGGGGGCGCTGTGAGTGGATGATCTATAAGAGTATATACGAGTATATAGTGACACAATAGATAACAACCTAGGAAACCCTGTGGGGCAGTTCTCCTCTGTTACACCAGGGGGCGCTGTGAGTGGATGATCTATAAGAGTATATACGAGTATATAGTGACACAATA